ACCTGTAGCAACTCAACCAGATCTTAATCGCACATTATTTCCAAACCGAAGCACTCAAGGGCCAGCTCAACTGCTCCAAGAAGAACTGCCACCAAATGCCGGATGAATGAGTCTTTTTAAAAGTTGAAAGCACAACTTGATTGGACACCGTAGTACGGTCTGCTTCCAATCCAGCTTCAGCTCCAGAGAGAGTAGGCAGGACACAACCACGGAGGACTGTAGCGGTATAAAACACAGATGGTGATAGAAGAGAAGGAGTGCAGCTGCCCAGGGCCATAACAAGGAGGATAAAGCTGCCTGCCACACTGCAAACACTGTTCAGGAATAGTCTGAGGAGCAGAACAAAGAGGTGAAGGTGTTGACTTAGACTCCCTTGGAAAGCCATCCGATCGAGCATCTGTGGGATGTGCTGGAAAAACAAGTCTGATCCATGGGGGCCCCACCTCACAACTTCCACGACTTAAAGAATCTGATGCTGACGTTTTGGTGCCTTCAGATGTCTGTAGAGTCCAGAACTCAGCGGATCAGAGCTGTTTTTGCAACACGATGGAGCTACACAAGATTAGAAAGGCAGTTTTACTGTTGTGGCTGATCGGTGTAAATGCTCCATCGAGCTGCAGGGAACTACAGAGTGGATGCATACCTGTGGGTTTGTCCTTTATACATTCAAAACACAAATAATAGTATCGATCTAGCAGCTTATAAGTTAAGTTACAAGAGCTGAGATCAGATGGACTCTGAGCCTGAGAATGGCCGCAACATCCTAGCAGAATGTCCAGGAAAATAGCTGCTTTCTAATAATTTAGCTTATGGCTAAATAAAATATCACTATAACAAAGTAAACCTTTCCGCTACAATTCACAAAAAAGCCATATGTGTGATCACATCATATGTCAGCTGGTATGTGAACAAAGAGAATTTATTAAGCACTTCCTTTTTCTTTTAGATCCCAGAGATGTCGGTTCTGAATGTCATGCATGTGTTGAATACAGGAATACATAATGTGCAATGACTAAAACCTGAGAACACCCAGTTATCCAGTTCAGCTTTTCATGTGTCTTCCCTGCCCTTGTCTGTCAGTCAGTCTCTCTGCAGTGAGATGTTCTTCCTCCTGCCGTCACATCCCACAAAACAAGCCGCTGTGTGAGCGCAGCCAACTGAAATAACTGGCGTTAGGACTCGTGCACCCTAAACCTGACGGCGAATGCATTATAGATGCCCACTTCACAATGTGTCACATCATGTCTTGATTTGCATGCGCACCACGCATTTGATCTTCTTCAAGCAGGAGTAACAACCAAAGCAGAGAGATCTGAGAGATTTTCAGTAGCGGAGGGAGAGTCATAGAGCTCGACACTAATGAACACATTTTCCAGAGCGAGGGGGAGCACACTTTAGTGCAGACTTAACTTTGCCAGTATAATTGTACTGCGAGGGATACTTTGCAATGAAAATGTTCTTTAAAAGAAGCGTTTTCCAGGCCAAACTTTAAATATGTGTAAAAAGCAACGTTTAACACCCAGAGTAGTGACGATTCTGAGCATCTACACCTTTGTAAATACACACAAGCCATCTGTTTAGTCCACAGCAGTACTAACGGCCTATCAGACACTCTCCATTGTAGCGTTGCATGGTGTGGGCGTGCAGGGAAGCCTTCCAGGGCCATTGTGTTCTACGCTATGCAATTAGTGTTGATAATTTCATTCATGGTTTAGTCTTCTGGCTACAGATGCCCCTTTTGCTAGGTGCCAGGAGAGATACTCATCCTGAGCTATGATTTTGCTACATTCCCTATTTTCTGTTTGAAGATGTTTATTAGAATGCACTCACTAGATATACCAGTCTGTGACAGCTTTATACACTCAACTTGGGTTCTACGTATTCACTCTATGACAGTGTTCCTGCAAGCTTCTTAAAGTGAAACCTTTTAGAGGCCTTAAACCATATGCACTAATAGCTAAAGCCCCATCTACTTTTAAAATGATTAGCTCATCGCTCTGTAGCTGGTAGACACAACATTTTGTCTCTTTTTTGTCCTCTGTAACCAAACCACCTTCTGTATTTCCCAACCAGCTTTGACTGAACTGGTTAGCATACACTGTAACCAAAAAAACAAAAAGAATGATTTTTAAATGTTGTAACATTATGAACAATTTATTGTTTCTTTGCAGATGTTCAAAGTTTTTTTCAAGTGACAGATAAAAACTAGTAAAATCACACCGGAAAATATTAATATATATGCTAACTGTTAAAAAACAAAGAGCCAAAACTGTAAATAATGTCCACATCTAAAATCCATATTTTTATAAATGATCATTTATTCCCTAGCAATGTTTGATCCTAAAAGATTTTTAAAATGTATTTCAATTGGCATAAAATATTGTTATTTTACTTTTATTTACTGTTGTTTGACAGAAAAAAGATTTTATTAATATGTATTACACATTGAAAAATACAAACTTTTTTTTTAAAAAGGTTATTTTGTCATTTTTTTCTTGTTTTGTTAACACACACATAATAGAGTAACAAGTAAGCTAGATTTTCCCTTTTTTTTTCAAATTTTTTTTTCCAGTGTACACTTCAGCAATGACAATTCTTAAAGTTTAACATATTACATTTTAAAGCTCAAAGCTGTAGCTTTTCAAAACTGATGATAAATGAGTTCTGAGTGCAGTTGTGCAAGTCGAGTTCGCTGGAGATCACAATGATGAGCTGCTTTTTCATTTTGATGTGGTTGCAGTGGTAGGAACCAAAGCTGTGGATGTTGTTTCCTTGTGTTTGGGGAGCTTAGTGATGACATCACCTCAATCAAAAGTAACCTCATTGGTAGTTGACTGAAATGCATCACCTCAAAGTTGAGGTTTGTTTTACACGGTATCCGTCCACCAATGGTTCTTTCACTTGTCATCGCTAATGTCGCCAAATTTCTTTGATCTCATCTTTCATCTCTGGTCACCATTTTGCTGCTGTTCTCTTTGTGTTCGTACATCCCCTAACTTGATCCAGTTGTTTGGTTTATCCAGATAATAGTCCTGTGTTGGCGATTAGCTAATAACAATGTACTGGTGAATCAAATTGTATTTTTACCAGATCTTTCTCTGAATAATCTGAATGTTCACCAGCATATTGAAGATGGGTTTCTAAATAAACAACAAGCTACTAAGAAGTCTGGCTTTGACAAGCAGCCATGATTACTTGGAAAGCATTTTGTTTGTACTTGTGTGATATTAACAGTGCAGTGTTACACTAGCAGCTTGGTTTCGAACTAACGTTAACTTCCTTCTTTATGGCTGCAGACCAAACATCTGAGAAATGATGGTTCAAAATGATACCCAGCAGCCTCGTTTATTTGTTTCTTGCTCCAATAGCTTCAACAGGTTTAATTACAGATTGTAGATTCATTTTTGCTCTGGAACTAAAAAGCATTTTGGATTAATATAGTAGCTTATGTATGCAGACCAAATCGAGTGATTATGATATCAGTGGAAACACATGTAGGTCAACTAGAAAAGCTGAGGTATGTTTAGCCCTCATGCAAACTATGCACATTTGATAGGAGTCTTTGTCTGAGATGGAAGCCCATTGCAGTGGGTTTCAGCCTCTGAGGATTGCAGTTCTGTCCCTTTGGGTTTAGCAGGAACAGACATAGCAGCTAGAAAGAAAGGGGAACAAATGAGCATGTCACAACATGCCTGTCCAAACATGTAAATCTGTTGGACAAGAGCAAACAAGAATCGTCTGGCTGTGACACATTAGCTGAACTCCAGGTACTCTGCTCTGCTAAAAAACTAATGCACACACAAGAGGGATCGCCTGAGCATAAAACAATGTTACACAAACACAAGCTACACTACTAAACAACTTTCACTCATTGTTGTAAGGTGATGCGAAGCATACAGTTTCACTTCTTCTGCACCTCAACTGCATTGCTACACCTTGACAACATAACTTGATGTTTACTGTGATACATCCCACATCTCAGGAGTTTGCTAATTGATTTTCATGGCACAATCAAATGCATAGAAAGGAATATCTGACTGAAATGGAAGAAAGAAATCCAAAAGGGTAAAGCTGAACAGTATGCATTCAAAAATAGGCTGGAGTCTATCCCAGCTGACTTAGGGCGAAGGCAGGGGACACCCTGGACAGGTCGCCAGTCTATCACAGGGCTACACTTAGAGACAGACAACCAAGCACACTCACATTCACACCTACGGACAATTTAGAATCACCAATTAACCTCAACATGTTTTTGGACTGTGTGGGAGGAAGCTGGAGAACCCAGAGAGAACCCACGCTGCACGGGGAGAACATGCAAACTCCATGCAGAAAGATCCCGGGTGTCCTCACCAGGACGCGAAGCGGCAACCTTCTAGCTGTGAGGCAACAGTGCTAACCACCGAGCCACCTTGCAGGCCAGGGTTCAGAATATTTCTTTTATTTGTCCCTTGTTTGTACATGACCATGCAAAACAGTGCAGCAACACAATTCGCTGCTGCTCATTCCTCAGCGGACTGGACAGATTGGGAGTGTTATAGCACTTCTAAAGAGCTGCCCACTCAGCTTTCTGATTCAGACACATCTTACTCATGTTTTGGGTTTTTTTTTTTTTTTTTGCAGAAGTCAGTGTGTGGGCGCTGACATGGGAGACAAAGTGTATGTGTACTCATTCTGTAAATACTCTGCAGCAACTCCTGTGTTGACAGGTCAAAGGGCAAAGAGTCGTGTGAGGCTGATGGCCATCTGGTTACACAACCTCTGTCTGTTGTAACACCAGTCAAAACCTAACTGTTAAACCACTGGCATTTAGCTGCTTGATGATACTGCAGAGTAATTATAGTTTATGACCAAAATGTATAACCATACACCAATGTGTAACCATACTTATATATCCTTAATGTATGAATTGATGTCGTGTTTTTTTAAAATCTATTTTCATGCTATGTGGATGCCCCTGTGTTATCTTTAGTACATGCTTACATACAAAACCATTCAAGCACTTCTCAGAAGCTGTTCTTTAATAAGATTTTTGTAGACTGTCGTCCAAAAATCCAAAAATCCAAGTAAATGTACAAGTACTACAGTTTTATTGTAGTGGGGAAATAGTAAATGAATTTGATCATGATAGAATTCTCATGGCAACACTGTTGATTGCAATTGTCATTTCACAGGTTTATATGAGTGTGGGGTTGTTGATCTTGCCCATGAAGAGGATGCTCTTCACAGAGCTGTCCAGGACAAAAACCAAGAAGGGTCTGTCAACTGCGACTTTCAGTGGCACATTAAGCGACACTGGCGCCAAGGTGGTGGTGTCCACTTCCTCTGTCCCCTCCTCGGTGACACTCAGCGAAGCCCTGTGGGACACCTGTGGAAAACAATTGTGTATGAAAAAACACAAGTTGCATGTGACAATGTAAATGCATTTCATCATTGATGTCACTGATTATGTCAACGAATGGCAGCAGCCCTATTGGTAGTAATATACCTACTTTTGTAAATGTATCTGGGTTGCTCATGATGCAAAAACAAGAGCCTGTATCGTGCCGATGGCCAAATGTCCTTTATGTTGTTTTCATAGATCTACCAGTTTGTGTACAAATTAAGACTATAAATTATGCTTAGACGGTTTATTTTGGCATCCTCATCACCTAGTTCACACAATGAAGATGGCATATTCTGACTGTTTTCTTCAAGTCCCAATAAAATCCAAAAAATAAATGTATCTGTACCCTTGAGAGTTTGAGCTTTGTGTCACCCGATATCCCGGAGAAATCAGCGTCATCCTCAAAAGCTTTGGTTATGCCCATTTCTTTCAACGTGTCTTTCAGGCAGGTGTCAGCAGAGATGGAAAATGTTGGCAAATCAAAGGCAATATGCCTGAGAAAGACAAAACATGATATCTGTGAAGATTTTCAGTCATCCAGGTCATGGTTATTCTCGTGGTTTAATTATAGCAACTGGACTTGCTTAAGTTTCTTAAAGAGGTGATGCATCAGACCTCCACCTCTGTTGAGTGATGGTCTTTCCAGTTTGACATAGATGGCTTCTTTCACCCCTCTCTGTCTTCCCTGTACATTATTATCTTCAAAAGAGTGTCCTTTGTCCTTAAGATGCAGGTGGATTGCTGAGTCCTGTCACTCAACAGAGGTGGAGGTCTGAGGCATCACCTCTCACCTGTTTATAATTCAGTCCTAAGATCTCTCCCCAGGAAGATTAAACCCATTCACACCTAGTCACAAAAGACCTTAACGAACCCTGTTGTGGCATGGGGAGCACTAATGACTCACATAACGAGGGGGAGGAGCAACAAACCCCCAGTTGAAACCAAAACTCAAGTGTTAATGGCTCCTTAAGGATATATCTATCAGTCAGAAATGATGAAGCCTCTTGGATGAGAGGTGAAACGTCTTCAAGAAACGCAACCAAGTCCAGTTGCTATGAAAAAACTGCGAGAACACAGAACATGATCAGTGTTAGACAGTGAATTTACTGCTTCTGTCTTTAAGCTGAACCATGAGCACATTCAAGTAAATTCAATGTATCTGGTCCAGTCAACCGTTTCTCCATCACTAGTTCATCCAGGTTATATTCTTCCAGTTCAGTGACTACATTATGCTGCCACATCCTAAACCTCATACACATCACGGCATTCATCATTCATATTGAAAAGTACATTGCTCACTATGTCTAAAACACAACTTTAATACAACCAGATAGGAGGATTCAAATATAAATGTGATTCCTCTTACTTCATGGAGCCTGAGCGTCTCCAGTGCATGAGGTGTTCCTTGCTGATGCGTCCTTCCACCTCCTTCATCTTGCCTTCATCAGGCAGAACGATCATCATGGAGGTGGTTCCTTTGTATGGCAGCATGATGACGGTGGCGTTGTTGTCAGCATCGAAGTAGGTGTTGAAGGATCCTGTTTTTGTCATCATGTCCACCTGAACTTTGGTGTTCTCATCCACATGGAAGTCTGCCTTGTGTGTCACTACGTTTCTGAAGGGGTTCTCCCATTTTCCTGTATGAGACGGTAGAGAGGGGATGATGACAGTAATGTAAAGATGTCGACACAAATGACGTTGCAGGTTGCTCCACAACCTTCATGCATCATGTTTAGATCATTACACTGACTTATATTTCATGTGTTTGTGTCCTACCCTCTTGGTAAACTTCACACTAAGGCACAGACTTTTCACTTGCTTCTCACCTTTAAAGTAGACATAGTTAATGAGCATCATGTCCATGTCCTGGTCGAATTCCTTCACCATGTCTTTGATTCTGTCATGGGTCTTATTAGCAATGTATGTGTTGAGCTTGGCTACAGCCTCAGCAGCGTTGTCTAAGTCGACGTTGAAAAGGTCACCGGAGTAGTGGTTTTTGATTTCTGTCAAGAAATTCTCCAAAGGATTGAAACCAGTGCGCACTACAACAGCATTACCGACATCCAGCGTCTGGTTGTCCTGGCTGCGGCCAACCTCGTGGAAAAGACGCTCATAGGCTACATCGACCTGACTCTGGTTTAAGTT